AAGATTTCATATATGAATATGGTGGAATGGGGGAAAGGGCAACAAACATTTAGTCCATAACAGTGATACATGTAATTTAACTTTTATTATCACCAGTCTTTATCAGTTTAGCTGCTCTTTTTTTGCTCAGTAAATATTGTTTGGACAAGATTTCTATAGGGTAAGTTGACTTCTTCTTCGCTCAAAAGTTACTATCTCTTTCAAAGACATTTGGAGGTTGATGTGAAATTATAAAAGAAGAGACAATAAGTTCCTATTCTAAAAGATTTTATTTATTTATTTATGAGAGAGAGGGTGAGAGAGCAAGAACTGGGGTAGGGGCAGAGGGAGAGGGAGAAGCAGACTCCTCACTGAGCACAGAGCCCATGAGGTGCTTGATCCCAGGACCCTGAGATCATGACCTGAGTTGAAGTCAGATGCTTAACTGAATAGGTTCCTATTCTAAATAAAGCTGCTTGCATATATGAACACAAACACACACCCACACACACCCCACAAAGAACTGATCATTTAGGACAGATTTAGTTGGTGTTATATCCTAATATTACCTTCTATGCCCAAATCTTAAGCAATTTTCTTTTTTTTAAAAGATTTTATTTATTTATTTATTTATTTATTTATTTATTTGACAGAGAGGGACACAACGAGAGACACAGCAGGGGGAGCAGGAGAGGGAGAAGCAGGCTTCCCACTGAGCAGGGAGCCCGATGTGGGGCTCGATCCCAGAACCCTGGGATCATGACCTGAGTCAAAAGCAGATGCTTAACAAGTGAGCCACCCAGGCACCCCTTAAGCAATTTTCTTCTTGCCTTGATAGTTAATCTAGAATCCGGAGTCCCAGAATGTGAAAACAACCTATTTGACAAAGAAACAGTTAAATAATATCAGAGTGAAAGAGGAAGGTAAAACTGCATATGGTTTTGCTTTTGAAATGCTTCTGGAAATTAATCTTCAAAAAGTCTTTAGTTAGAATTCTAATAACTCTGAATTTATGATTAATGAGGTTTAGGCAGGGCAAAGATGTTTCTTTGTTTCATATAATAGCTAACATGCTAAGTGTTATGGGCTGAATCGTGTCCCCCAAAACTCATATGTGGAAGTCTTAACCCCCAGTACCTCAGAATATACCTTGTATTTGGAAATAAGGACTTTAAAGAGGTAATTGGGGAAAATAAGGTCATTTGGGTGACTCCTAATCCAATATGACTGATATCCTTACAAGAAAGGACAATTAGGGCATAAACACACACAGTTCAAGGGGTAAACATGTGAGGACACAGAGAGATGGTGGTCGTCTATGAGCCAGAGAGAGGCTTCAGAAGAAACTAAACCTGCTGATGCCTTTATCTTGGACTTCTAGCCTACAAAATGGTGAGAAAATACATCTCTGTTGTTTAAACCACTCGCTCTGTGGTATATTGTCAGGGCAGGCTTAGCACATTGATAGACTAAGCACAATGCTAAACTAAACAGGATTGTTGAGGGAAAATGTTTTCTAACAGAGAAACTTAATTTTAAGTATGTTAAGAATTACATTTGTAGTATCTATTTGCAAAGAATAATTGTGCTAATACAAATTACTGGTTATTAAAATTGGTTTAGAATAATCTAGACTTAATCCTTTGTTCTTCACATCACATAGATGGAAACATAAGGAACACGTTTAAAAAATACATTTTAGTTTAAGCTTTTCACTGACCTTTTCCAGATAAATTAATATCATCATCAATAACTAAGGAATGGCATATGAGTAGGAAGGAGGCAGCAGCCATAAATACTATTAAGTCTCAGTATTACTTATAGTGGTAACTACTACATCATGTCTGGGCTAGTTATCATCTAAATGGTTTACATGTACTTTCCCTCTAATTTTTCTTCTTTTTTAAAAGATTTATTTATTTATTTTAGAAAGGGGTGGGGGGGAGGGGCAGAAGGAGAGGGAGAGAAACTCCACGCTCAGTGTGGAGCTTGATGCTGGGCTCAATCCCAAGACCCCGGGATCACGACCTGAGCCGAAACCAAGATTCAGATGCCCAACCTACTGAGCCAGCCAGGTACCCCTTGCCTCTGATTTTTCTAACATTTTTCTCTTATTTTGGCAATTTAATATATTTTTGAGAGGAAAAAAAGAAACACAAGCTCATTCACTTGAATGCTTGGGTCAAATTTGGAATAGTTTTAAGCTGCTGATGCCTGAATATTCTATAATAAAAATCAGGAGGTATGACTTATGTCTGCACCCTGGTATTTATTTGTTCCCATAAAAACATTCAGAATTGACTCTGGATGACATAGGAATGATCTTTTCAGAATTGCTAGTTTACCCATGCCAGGAATTAGAAAGTTTCCTCAGTGCTATTTATAAAGCATTGTGTTTTCTAGTGTGTACCTTCCACAAGTTCAATTCCTTTCTCCATCATGCCTGGACCACCCACTCTACCCTGGGTGCGGGCAATGAGTGATCAGATCTTATTAAACTTTCTGATTCCTTGACACTTTAACAAAAATCATCAGCAAGCTGTAATTCTAACAAGTGATGATCTTAGAATTTGAGAGAAAACACTGCTCTTTTCATGCTAGACTTTGACTTTTTTTCTCATCCTGGCACTGGTAGGTGTTTTAGAATTGCCCTTTGAATATATATGTGTGTATATATTTATATTTAAATATATATGTGTATCAATATAATACATATATGGCATCATCATATAGTGAGTGCTTGTTTTTTAAATCTTTAGAGCTTGTTTATTATGCTAATGTTTTCTCATCAAACAAAGCCACCTACACTTAACAAATATTGAGCATGTATCGTGTGTTAGGCACTGGAGTTTAAAACAATAAAGGGCAATTTTCAATGCAAAAAAAAAAAAAAAAGAAGTAGTGTTTTGGGTGTTCACTCTGTGTGTTTTCTTCTTCTTCTGGGACATGAACGGGTCTCTGGGTCGTTTCTCTGGGGCAGGGTAGGGGACCCAACAGAGCTTCCCTGTAGGCAGTGGAGTCCTTTGGGGCCAGGCTGAGTGAGCGTGTGTTCAGGGTCTTGGAACCTGACCTGCAGTATTTCAGGAGGCACCAGGGCCACGGCCTCCTCCGGAAGCTGCATGATACTGTAGGTGTTCATCAGGACCTCAATGGTCCTCGGAGACTCACACCAGCGCTCCAGCACCTAGGGGGGCAGAGATGCATCAGCGCTTCCGGGGCTCCCCCATGCTGCAGGTCCCCAGCCGGTCTGCACTGGATGACGAGACAGCGATAGAACAGCTGCTGTGGGCTGAATTGTGTCCCCCCCAAAATATGTTGAAGTCCTAATCCCCAGGACATATAAATCTGACCTCTTTAGAAATAGGATCTTTGCAGTTGCGCTGAAGTTAAAATGAGGTCATCAAGGAGAGGATTCATAGAGAAGGGAAGAGGCCGGCAGAGACCTGGTGGGATCAAGTTGGAGCCAGATTCATTCTTTCACGTCTTCATTTAGTAAATAATTACTAAGGGCCACTACAGGCTGAGCGCTGGGGACCTAGCAGTGAGGATGACAGACAGGTCCTTTCAGCTGGGAAGGTCTATTTCAGTGGGAGAAAATAATATCAACACATAAACAACCACAGATAAGCCGTTACAATGAAAAATAAGTGGGCTTGGGGACTGAGTGTGTTGGGAGGGTGCTGTCCTAGATGGGTGGTCAAGAAAAGCCTCTCTGAGGAGGTGACCCACTGCAGGGGAGGCTGAGCCATGCTGGGGGAGCAGCCCGTGCCAGAGACTGTCCACATGGAAAGAAAGACAGCCTCAGCCGGCCTGGACACACAGATGCCATCATACTCGTGTCTGCAAGTACTGGCTAGAAGCAGATGCGTGCTTCATCCACTCCATCTCTGGCTGTGTCTCAAGCTATAGGCAGCGGCCACAAACCCTTTAGAAAATCTGAGAACACCTAAGTACTATCTTTCTGGCAGCATTCCTGTACATGGCACCCCTCTCCCCACATACACTTGCATGCAGCACTGGGGGCTTTAAAACCCCCTGCCTAAAAGGAGCCCCACTGCCTGGCAGGCTGGGAGTGTTGCATGGGCTGGCTGCTGCTGGGCCGGGGGAGCAGGGCCCCTGGGGAAAGCATCTCACACACCCGGAGCCCCCTCTGCTTCTTGCCCTGCAACTCAGCAGTGCTCACTGTGGCTGCCTCATCCCGTCTGCCCAGAGCGGGTCTCTGATTTACTCCTCCTTAGGGCTAGGAAAGAACAGGCAGGTCACGTCTATCTGCTGTTCAGGAGGGGTCTCTCTGTGCCTCCCAGCCCACGTTGATTCCTGCCTCTGTCCTCTGCCTGGAATACCTATGCTTTCCTCCTCCTCCATCTCCAAGGCCTGCCCATCCCAAGTCCCCTCTGCTCCAGGAAGCTTCCTGCGGCTCTTCAACCAGCACCTCTCTCTCCCTACGTTGGCATAATGCCCAGCAGCTTTCCCACACATTATTTAACTTAGAAGAACATGAGCTAACTCTAGGTTAGGCCCTGTTGAAAGGGCTTTACGTGTATGAGCTCAGTTCTCATCCTAACCCTATGAAGTAGGCACACTCTTATGCCCCTGTGTTACACACGAGGAAACTGAGGCCCGGAGAGATTAAGCAACTTGCCAAGGGTCACGTGGCTGGTGTGCCAGGCTCCGGAGCCTGCGCTCTTGGGCGTCACTTATGCCGCAGCTACCTCACCATAGAACAGTGTCTGGTGGTGGTCAGGGCTGTGCTCACTCCCACTGTTACCCACGGGGCTCCTACAGCTTTTTATCGCTGTTCGCTAGAGGCTATAATTCGTGCAAAGAGCATGCGTTCAGAGCGTTCCAGTGACTTGCCTATAGTCACAGGAACAAGCATCAGACCAGACCCTGGCTCCAGGTTTCCTGAGCGCCCAGTGGCTCCTGGAGAGCTGGCTGAGGCTGGCAGCGATCACCGATGACTCCTTGCAGGGAGACAGGCACCTCAGCCAAGCGTGGAGCAGCTGTGGATTGCAGGAGATGGAGGAAGACTCCCTCCTGAACTTTTCCAGCACCTGGGACGCGGCACCCAATCGAAGGGGAGGAATGGGGCACTTGGCTGTGCCGGCCCCCCTGGTCCCTAAGGCAGGGCAGATCGGGGCTGGGGGCGGGGGCGGGCAGTGGGGTCCTGGGAAATCCTTCTGCTGCTCTGCCTCCTCCTCCCACCCCCTCCCCAAAGGGGAAATCATTAGTTGTCAGAGCCACCGTCAGATTACAGGGAATTGCTCGTCTCCTAATTATCTGGTGTTAATAGGAGATTAATTAGTGTTAATTGTTGATTTCCTTGTATTTTCCCAAAGGGGAGACCAATCTGCCGAACTCTCGGGCTGTTTAATTATTTGGTCTTGCTTAGGAATCTAGACTGATGCTTCTAGGTTTGTGAGTGGAGGCGAAAGGCAGGGACAGGAGAGGAGTGTCCAGGACCGGGCAGGGCTGGACAGTTCAAGCCCCGAGATGGCGCAGAAGGATCTGCCCACAGCCTGCTACCCTGTATCCGTTCTGACCCAGCTCCTCAGAGAACAGGGGTCCCCATCCCAGTCCCAGCACCCTTGGACATTATAAGGCCCCCTCCAGATACGACGCAGTATGGGACAGGGCCCCCTGTGAGGGCATCTAGGAGCACAGGTCTTCAAGTTGAACCCACTTTGGGAATATGTTAATCAAATGAGATACAGCCAGGAAATTGACAGCGAAAGGCTTTTTCTCTAGTGCCAGCATAGCAGCTGCTGGTCTGGGTGATGCTAAGCTCTCAGAAACAAGGACTATGTCTGTCTGCAAAAGGTCAGGAAGCTTTGAACCTCATGACCCAGGCTCATCGCTCTGCCCTGGGGGAGCCTCTCCTGTGCAGAGTGTCTCACTGAATGGATCCCACTGCCAGGCTGAGCCTCCTGCATGTTCCTCTCATCAGCTCGCTCCCCGGATGAAGAAACAACTCCCTGACGCCCACATCAGTCCTGGCTCCTGTCTTTTCAGATGCATGATAATCTGACCTCCTGCGCTCAGGCCACCTTCAACACACACGCATACACTTGTGCATGCACACATGCGTGCATATGCATGCGGGAGCCCGTGTATGCACACGTGCATACATACCTACACACACACACCCCTCCTGCCGGTCTCCATCCTTGCCTTTGCCCCCTTTTGGGCTTTGCTTACTTGATGAAAGAAGAACTTACTCGTGTGCTCAAGGGTTGGAGGCTGCATCTGGAGTGAGTGGGAGCAGGTCTGCGTCTCCCCTCCCCTCACCCTCACAGCCCTCCCTCTGGCCCCAGCCCCATACCTTGGGGAGGGCCCCAGGCCAGACGCGGACAGCACCGTGGTTGAGCAAAGCTCGCACCGTGTGCTCTGGGCTCTGGGCCAGGGCCGCAGCTGGGCCCTGCAGAGCATAGTGCAGGGCCGTGTGTCCCCCATAGTCCATGACGTTGGTGCTGACGCCGCAGGATAGGAGCAGCTCCACGATGGCCGCGTGGCCGCGGCGACAGGCCAGGTGCAGGGGCCGTCGCTTGTCCTGGTCAGCAGCATCCGCATCGGCTCCGGCTGAGAGCAACAGAGAGCAGAGCTGGAGGCAGCTGGCGGTGGTGGCCTCAGCGTCGGCGGGGGATGTGCAGCGGACGTCACAGGCAGCCAGCAGTGGGGTCCAGCCTTCGGCATTACGGGCATCAGGGCATGCCCCCCGTCTCAGAAGCAGGTCTGCCAGCTCCACACGGCCCAGCCGGGCGGCCACATGCAAAGGGGTCTCCTCCTCCTCCTCAGACCGACCATCCACTTTCGCCCCAAACCTCAGGAGCAGCTCCGCACACCTGGGAAGGGCGAGACGGTGGTGGGGAGGAGAATAGGGCCCTCCACTCCTACCAGTCTGAGCAGAGCAAACCTGGGGGCAGTTCTTGGGCGGCTCCTGCTTCTGTCTGCCCCTCCCCTTCCATCCTGCCGGTCACTAGTCATCCCAGCCGCGCGCTGCAGGGTCAGCAAAGCCTTCTCTTCAAGCCCGCGTGCTCCCTGCAGGAGTGGTGCCCTAAAGTCTTCATGGGGGTGAAAGTCACGTGCAGCCCTCATGCAGTGAGAACAGGAGCCCTTCTGAGGGCTCTACACGAACTGACTTGTTCCATCCTAGGTCCCGAGGAGGAAACTGAGCCCCGAGGGTGTGAGGACCCGGCCCACATTCACGCAGCTAGGAGGTGGGGGGGGGGGGGGCTGGCATTCGGGCCCAGGGTGTAGCAGGGCAGTCGGAGGGCTGTGCACGCTGGGGCTGGTGGAGGAAGCGGGACGTGGGGCCTGGCTGTGGGTGTGGATGGAATTGGGGGCATGGGAGAAAGAGCAACAAAACCAAAATTGGCCAGCCAGATTTGCTCCAAGACGGCCCTCACAGAAGGTCGTATGTGCCTATAAGAACGTGAACATGGAAATTCAAGGCGAACGGAACTTAGCCTCTTGGAGCTAGTGTCCGCATCTGAAGAATGGGGATACTTGCTAATACCTGGACCTAATGAAGTTGTGAGCAGCACAGTGCCTGGAAAGACCATGACGGCAGCCCTTGGCAGGGAGGGTGGGTAGTGATGGATCATGGGGGCCCATCGTATTATCCTGCCCACCTTTCTACATGTTTAAAATTATCCATAATAATTTTTTTAAAGATTTTATTTATTTCTTTGACAGAGAGAGAGATAGCGAGAGCAGGAACACAAGCAGGGGGAGCGGGAGAGGGAGAAGCAGGCTTCCCACAGAGCAGGGAGCCCGATGCAGGGCTCGATCCCAGGACCCTGAGATCATGACCTGAGCTGAAGGCAGACGCTTAACGACTGAGCCACCCAGGCTCTATCCATAATAATTTAAAAAAATACTTCTGTTTACGCGGGAAAGGAAAGAATGATTCTCACTGGGTGTGGTCTCCATGAGGCTGGGCTAGAACATGGCCAGAACCAAAAATGCGGGATTGTATAGAGCTGTGTTGTCTGATACAGGGGCACCAATCACACACGGCTATCGAGCACTTGGATTATGACAATGTCTAATTGAGACATGCCGTGAGTGTTAAAATACACACCAATTTTGAAGACTTGGTACAAAAAAGAGAACGTAAAATATCTCATTAGTTCTTTATGTTGATTACATGTTGAAGTGGCAACGTTTTGGATATACTGGGTTAAATAAAAGATATTATTAAAATTAATTTCACCCATTTCAGAGATATTTGTACACCCATGTTCACCGCAGCACTATTCACAACAGCCAAAATGTGAAAGAAAGCAATCTAAGTGTTCATCAGCTGATGAGTGGATAAAATGTAGCATCTACAGACAATGGGATCTTATTTAGCCTGGAAAAGGGAGGACATCCTGACACCTGCTGCAACATGGATGAACCCTGAGGATATCGTGCTGAGTGAAAGAAGCGATCACAAAAGGACAAATGCCCTGTGATTCCACTCGTATGGGGTACCTAGAATAGTCAAATTCTGGAAACCAGAAGAATGGTGGCTGTCACAAGCTGGAGGGAGAGAGGAATGAGAAGCTTTTGTTCGGTGAGGACAGAATTTCAGGGTTGTTTTTTTTTTTTAAGATTTTTAAAAAAGATTTTATTTATTCATTTGATAGAGAGAGCACAAGCAGGGGGAGCAGCAGAGGGAGAGGGAGAAGCAGGCTCCCTGCCGAGCAGGGAGCCCGACACGGAACTCGATCCCAGGACCCCGGGATCATGACCTGGGTCAAAGGCAGATGGTTAACCAACTGAACCACCCAGGTGCCCCAGAATTTGTTTTATAAAATTTAAAATGTTCATGAGAAGGATGGTGGTGATGGTTACCTGACAATGTAAACCTGCTTAGTGCCACTGAACTGTGCCTTTAGAAACGGTCAAGATGGTAAATTTTGTTATATGTATTTTACCAGAATTAAAAAAAATAATTTCATCTTTTTCTATTTTTTTTAAGATTTTACATTTAAGTCATCTCTACACCCACTATGGGGCTCAAACTCACAACCCCGAGAGCAAGAGTCCCACGCTCTACTGACTGAGTCAGCCAGGTGCCCCATTATTGTTCATTTTTTTGATAAGGCCACTAAAAAATGTTTAATTACATACGTGGCTCACATTGTATTCTATTGGGACACACTGGGATAGAATACATCTTCGACCATAATAAGTCAATGGAGTCTGCTGAAGGATGATGAGGTTAACAGGAGGTTAACCAGCTCATGATGAAAGGGATAAAAATTTGGCACCATTCCGGAGCAAGATGTGAAATTTGTCAGGTGCGCAGTCTGTAGAGGGAGGGCCTCTATTGCATGTACAGTTAGTTCATAGATCTGCCAAGGGTCCCTTTGCCAGGATTCCACGCTCATCAAAAATTGAGTGAGGGGGCGCCTGGTTGGGTAAGCGTCTGCCTTCGGTTCAGGTCATGATTCCAGGGTCCTAGGATCGAGCCTCGCATAGGGCTCCCTGCTTCTCCCTCTCCTGCTGCTCCCCCTGCTCGTGCTCTCTCTCTCTGTCAAATAAATAAATAAAATCTTCTTTAAAAAATTGAGCGAGGACTCGTCCCCCAAGTCTCCCTACACATACAGCATAATTATTTGGGTCATAATAAAGGAATTTTCCCTACACTAAATAATATATTGAAACATGGGTACATCTATCAGTTTCTTGTGAGTTTAGTTAGTTGAGTTCCATCCCTAGGCCCATTTATCTGAGGGTACCCACCAACAGGGAAATGCTAGACCTGTCCACAGGGATCAACGCAAGCCCTAACTGGGGGCTGCTCTCCTTTCCTGGACTGTCAGCTCCCTGAGGGCAGCATTATGCCTCAGTCACCGCTGTACCTAGCACAAGGCCTGGAACACAGGATAGACTCAGAAAAATTAACACTTTACAGTATACCACCTCCCCATAATGGATCCAGACAACTTCCCAACACAGGCTCTGCAGCTGGGTCCCTGCCACAGTCCTTTTACACCCCGGGGAAGCAGAAACTGTCCCAAGTACAGGCCATTCCAAAGTTCCAGGGCCAGTGGTAGGAGGGTTTGGGGGGTAATCACATCCTGACTCCCCACCTGAGCCGAGCTCAGCAGGCCTGCCAGCCCCTGACGGGCTCGCTCATCCTCCCTGAGGTCATGGCTCTGCCCGCCCCCAAGACTAGAATGGGGGCTGGACTGGGGGTCACTCACTCAAGGGCGCCGGCCCCCTGGCAGAGGTGCAAGGGGAGTTTTCCATCCTGGTCGGGGATGCTGGGGTCGGCTCCGGCCACCAGCAGCGCGTGGACACAGGCAGCGTGGCCCGCGGCACAGGCTTCGTGCAGGGCGGTGCGGCCCCCAGGGGCGCTGTCAGGCCTTGCTCGCCGCCTCAGCAGCAGCTGCAGAACTTCCGTGTGGCCCCGGCTGGCGGCCACGTGCAGCGGGGTGGTCAGCTCCTCTTCGTACGTCAGAGACCAGAGTCCTAGGGAGAGAGGGGACATGGGCCTCAGACCCTGGAGGGAGGCAAAGAGCGGCCAGGCAACAGGGGAGATGGGTAGAGGCTGGGAAGAGGGAGCCCAGAGCTCCGTCCCCAGCCTCCCCTCTCCCTCTCAGATGCCCCCCCCAGTGCCCCTGGCCCGTACTCAGAGCGCGGATGTTGAAGCGGAAATCCCTCCATCGCTCTGGGTCACTGGTATCAAAGATGGAATCCGGAGTCAGGCCAGTGCTGGAATCGGCGAGGATGTGGGAGACAGAGCCCACGTCCCCGGCCAGCACGGCCTGCCAGAAGGCCAGGGCAGGTCCTGAGGCCGTCCGGGTGACGATGGGTCCCGGGCCGGACTCTGGGTGCTCGGCAGACCCTCTGCTGGGCTTCTCCACCAGCCTGGCACAGAGGGTGTGTCTGTCACTGGGGGGTTCTCCCTGCTCCCTGCATTCTTCTGGGGACCAGCTCATGAGGACAGAGTACGAGCATGTGGGAAGAGGAGTGGGAGAAGGAGGGGTCAGAGGCAGAGAGAGGAAGAAGAGGAGGGAAACAGGGACAGAGGGCGGGAGACGGTCTCTGTGTCCCTGAGTGGAGCCTGACCCGGCCACGCGGTTCCGCAGAAGCTATTCTGGGCTCCACATGACTTCACTCCCAGGCCAAGGCTTAGGCAAGCCTCTGGGTAGGGGAGACGTAGCCAGGCGCTTCTCCTCTTCCTCAAGCACTTGGTAACTCTGTATCTGACAGGGTCAGCCCAGGCCCCTGGCCCTTAGCCCTCCAGCCCCAGAGTCCCTCACCCCTCTGGTGGCTGCTCCAGCGAGGCTCGGCGGCCCGGGACTCCAGCAGCAGGTCGGCTGTGCTATGTGGGGGAAACAGCTCCTGTAACCTCTCCAGGGCTCCGGTGTACAGCGCATTCTGCAAGGCCATGTCACGGCACAGAAGTGGCGACCGCCGAGTTGGCCCCCAGGCTGGGCAGGCCTGGGACCCCCAGACCCGGCAGGCCAGGGCTGAAGGAAGGCACCCCACACGGCGTCCCCAGCGGGGAGGGGAGCTCCTTCTCCCAGGCATAGGCAATCTCTGGGAGAGAGGGAGCCGAAGCAGCAGGACGCAGGGAGATGCCACTGGCCGACTGGTCAGGCAGGCACCGGGCCCGAGCCAGGCAGAGGCCTAGTGTGGGAGGGGCAGCGAGTGCACGTAGGCCATGCTCTAAATAGACCCAGCTGTCCCAGCTGCCCGTCCCGGGGAAGGCGGCCTCAGGCTGGAGTGGGCATTAGGGAGGAGCTGGAGAACAGAGTGAGGCTCGAGCCCTCCAACCCTGAGTTCACCCTGGAGTTGATGGCCCTCAGGGTTGAGAGGGATCGCCCAGATCGTGGTAGCCAACCTGCAATTTCACAGGTAAAGGAACATGGAGCCTGGGTGTGGAAAGCGATTTGCCCAAGGTGTGACAACTTGTGTCAGATCCCGGACTAGAATGGGGGTGGGGGTGGGGGTGGGGAGTGGGGGCTCTCAAGCTGCCATTTCATACTCTTTGTCATCTATCCTGTGCTTCACCAAAGCCAGCCTCCAGCGGCCTGGGCTCTGATCCCAGATGGAGGGCATGTGGGTGCCGGGCGATTTTTCCTGCCCTCCCAAATTAGCCCTGCACCTTCCCCCTCTCAAACCCAAGGAAAGGCTCCACAGTTGTGACGAATGGCAGAAAAGGCCCCACTCCATGAGGCTTTCCTTCCAGGTGTTCTCTGGAAGACAGACTTCTGCCTTGGGGAGAGAGGGCTCGGCCCACAGGCAGCAATAGAAACTCCCAGTGCCCAGCCTGGGTGCTGACCCCCCATCTCCCACCCCTACCTGCCAACGTTAGAGGGGTCTCAAGTCAGGGAGTGAGAAGGAGAAAGTGGTTCTACCCATTCAGGCACATTAGGATAACGAGACTACCTTCATTTGGGGAGATAAACAGGAAAACAGGGAGGAAGAGAACTTAAATCCCAGCCCCTGGGCGGCCCACCACGGGCCCTGGGCCCGCTCCAGCCCTAGTGGTCTCCTTTCATCTGGCTCCCATTGGCCTCTATGACCTGCAGAACACACCTTAACGTTTATTCACACACTCTTTACACTGCTTCTTCTGAGAGAGCTCTGGGGCTCCCAGCCCTCGGTGGCACGACTGTCCCTTGCTCCCTGAGCTCTCCTTCTCCAGCACCCCAACTCTTCCTTCCCCAGCAAAGGGGACCCACAGATGAACTTCCACCCGGGGGCAGGAGGCTGTGTCCCATCCACTCCCTGAGGGACAGGCTCTGGGTCAAAGGAAGGAGAGCAGAGCTTGGGCTGGTGGGGCGGGGGGGCAGGCATGTTTCAGAAAGGCGTGGAGACCACTCAGAGAAGGCACTGGCTCTCTACCAGGAGCCCTTGTTCTGGCCACCTACTACACCCTTTCTTCCTAGAACCTTCCTCTACCCCACCCTGCCGCTGCCTAAGAGTCCTCACCCCACTGACACCCTTTTGTAAGGATAATCAAACCCTGGAGTACCAGGGACCTTGGAGGCTTGCCCAACCTCTCCTTGTTTTACAGGTAAGGAAACTGAGGCCCGGAGACAGGAAAGGTCTGTGCAAGATCACACAGGGAGTTCCCACCGAGGTGGGGCTAACACCGAGGGCTGCTGACTTCCAAACTTGTTTTTTTCTTTTTCCAGACTTACTGTAGACCTTCCTTTTCCTTTCTCTTTTTCCTTCTTTCTTTCTTCTATTTTTTTTCTCTCTTAAAAACCCCAAGGAGGAAGAGAGCTGGGGAGCCAGGACAGGAACCAACAGGAGATGAAGACATGGGTGAGGGTCAGAGGACAGGGCTCTGGGGCCTGAGGGTGAAGGCTGTGAGTGGGTGAGGACGGAGGGCCAGCAGGGGTGGGGCGAGAGGGGGAGGCTGGGCACAGGCAGGGGGCGCGGAGCAGGGGCGGGAAGCACGGAGATGGACAGAGAGAGCTGCTCCCCGAGCTGCGTGGCCGTTTATGCCTCTGCCACAGGCCCTCCATGGCTGGGAGTCGCCCAGTCCCCCTGCCAACCTCGGGCACCCTGGCCTCAACCATCACTTCCTTTTCTTCTTCTCCTTCGCCAGCTTGGCTTCCTCAGCGTCCTGGTCCTTGATGAGTTTTAGCCTCCTCTTGCCCAGTGGAGTCTTGAAGTACCAGTCCTGGTGGGAAGAGGGGGGGAGGCGGGAGTGCATTGGCTCCACCCCGGCTTCTGCCTCCCGACCTTGCCCTCCCCTTCCCACCGATGTGCCCTCCGCGGCAGCAGCCGGTTCTCCTCTCTTCCCCGGCTCATCCTCTCTTCCACGGCTCAGGCGTCCTGCTAGAGTCTCGGTTTCCCTTGCTCTCCACCAAATACTCCAGGCCACGGGGTCAGCCATTGTCGGGGGCAAGCCCTCTCTCCATGGCCATCCTGCCACACATGGGGCACTGGTGGGCAGCGACTGAGGTGGGGGAAGTGGGTGTCCGCTGGTGCCAGGACCAACCACGGGCTCTTAATACCCAGGTGGCACTTTCGGGCTCCGGCCCTTGAGGACACCAGGTAAGCTGGTCCTGCCCACATGTCCTTCCCTGTGATTTCCTGTCCCCTTCCCAGCTAAACTCCATGGGGGAGCAGAGGGAGGGATCTAAGGCGGGCTTCAGAGGGCTGACTCCCTGGTTAGTGCTGGCCCGTTACCCTCCCTCCTGGCCTCCCCGCTATGCCCACCCCCGAAGCCTCACCTTCAGGGACTCCTCCTCCTCCCGGTACACGGGCTCCAGCTTGGCCAGATGCCCCAGGAACTCTGAGGCCACCAGGGGCCGCTTAGACAGCTGTAGGACCCGCCGCTCGGTCAGCACTGAGTGGATGGCTTGGAGAATGTGACCGGGTGTGTAGCCATCAGACACCTTGGCCAGGGCACTGATGTCTAGGTTCTGGGTCACCTGGACCCCCTGGGCCTCTATCATCTGCCTCCAGAGCACTGCAGGTGTTGGGGAAGGACACAGGGCAGGGAGAAGCAAGCAGTGAGGGAGAAGCAACCACCTCTATCTGAAATGAGGTCTGTGCTTCTGGAGAGCGGCTCTGTGCACATCAGTGCCTCCCCTCCCAGGAAGATGAGCATCATCCTGTCCACTGAACACGAGGAAGTGACACTCGGAGGGCTTATGTGGCCTGCCCGTGTCCACGGAGCCAGGCCAGGACCCAGGCCACCGGGCTGCTTGTCTAGCTGCCCTTTCCTGCCATGGAGGCATGGTCTCAGAGCAGAGTGGGGAGGGGAAGAAGGGTGAGGAGGCTCTGGCAGGGGTGGTCCCTGGATCCCTTGTCCGGCCTGCCCTCACGTCACAGGGCCTCACCGTAGCGACAAGCGTAATCAGGCCGTGGCATGTAGAGGATCCGTTCGTAGGTCCGGCACAGCCCCTTCATCTCCGCCAGATGCGGCTGGTCAGTTGTCCCTATCAGCATCACACGGTCTCCTGGGCCCAGCAGTCGCAGGGCTTTGGTGAGATCCTTCTTTATTCGCTTTGGGTCCATCTGCTCTGGGGAGATGGGGGGGAGAGACATGTGACTTCTGTGGGCTTCTGAGTTCTCTCGGAGCACATGCCCACACTCAGCCTCGTGTGGACACTGGGAGCGACACAGGCAGGAGGCCAGTCCTGCTTCCAGGATAAGGAAAAGGCATCAGGAGGACAGGGAACTTGTCCAAGGCCCCACGGCAGACGAGGTTTGGAGTTGACTTAAACAAGCCCAAGCCGGCCTTGCCCATGGCTCATGCTGCTACCCAGGTCCCCACACCTCCTTCTCTTCTTTTGGGACCCTCTTATAGAAATTCTTCTCGGCATTCCCAATCCAGATCACAGAGGGCTGTAAGAGTCGAGCCACCTGGACAGGTCAGAGAATAAAAACCTGGCGTCAGATGTCCCTGGGCAAGGGTCACCTCCCCGTCTGGTCCAAGGGCTGGGCTTGGAGCTCGGCCCCCATTTCCCACGTGCGGCCCGTCCCACCTCTCAGCCTGCTGGCCCTCCACCACACCTCCGTGGGAACAGAATCTCTGCCCTCCCTGCGTGGGGAGGCTGCATATTAAGCCTCAGCTCTACCGTGAAAGAAACTGCTCTGCTCCCCACTTCCCCCCAACCTCCCCCACCCCCAGGGCTTCAGGAATCCACAAGCTCCTAGCAGGGGTTGGTAGGGAGACCTCACCAGCTCCTGAAATCACACCAAATAGGCAGATGGGTGACCTCCTAAGCATAAAGCCCACCCTGCTCTGTGGGCACCGCCTGAGCACTAGAAATGCCAAAGTCGGGGGACTCAGACCTTAAAGATGATATGAACTATCATCTGCACCCCCATCTTGCCAGGATATTTGCCCTGCAGGTTGCCAGGTGACAGGTCAAACAGGTTGGCACCAGTTTCTGTGCACACGGCCTTGACCAGCATCTTCTTCCCCATGCCAGAGGGGCCCACCAGGAGGATGGAGCGGATGAGGGGAGCCATGGAGTGTATATCTGGGGAGCCTGAGAGAGGAAACAGGGGCCAGAGGCAGGCAGTAGGCCAG